TCTCCGCATTGCGCTGTCGGAGAAACCTCTACTGACTCTAGTAGTGGAATTGACCCAGCGTCGAGCTGGATTTAGATGTATAGCGCAGAATTTATGACTGTGCTTCCAGGGCTCACCTCTACCGGCATTTACTGATCGGTATCTACCATGGCGACAGAAGCGCTCCGCCCCAGAGGCAGACCGGCTCGTAAGTGAAGCCATTGGAATAACATCGGGACTTGACTAACCGTGTTTTCTTTCCCTCAGATACACCCGGAACCACTGTGTTGACGTACACGCCGGATGGTCGTCGGATTGTCACTGGCGGTTCCAACTCGGCGATCCGAGTCTATACAGTCGGCGAAGACGGCGAACCGAAGACGATCGACGACGGCGTTGATGGCAATTTGGGCGTTGTTGCTACAGTATGTCAAACATCTGTTCTCGAGGCTGCTGGAGACTAATGCGCTTCGCAGAATGAGTCGTTTATTATGGGAGCGGAAGATGGCACCGTCTGGAAGTATGGGATAGGATCAGGGAAGATGGAACAGCTGCTTGTACGATGCGCGCTGCCCGTCCGAGACCTAGCCCTTTCCAAGGACGGAGAGTGGGTGGCAGTTGCAAGCGAGTCAGTCTAATTCTACATGAAGCTGCTCTTCGCGCACAATGCTGACAGTATCCAGTGAGCTCACAGTCAAGATAGTCAACATCGAAGACATGACGAAAGTTAAATACCTCCGAGAGCAAGCCAAAGGCACGAAACACGTTTCCTTCGATCCAAACGGACGATACATAGCCGTCTCGTGCACGGACGGTCTTCTCTACATTTATTCGACTTTCTCGGACGAACCAGAATTAATACGCAAATTAGACGGCGTCATCCGACGACTTGAAGCGGAGGACGAAGCAACGGCAAAGATCGCCTGGCACCCTGATGGAACAGCATTCGCAGCTGCAGAAGTGACTAGAGACATCGCAATCTATTCTGTATCTGAATGGAAGAAGGAAAAGGTCTTCTCGGGTGGTCACAACGGGGATATTACCTCGGTCAGCTGGTCACTGAATGGGGCTCTTCTTGCGACAGCTGGTGCCGACAGCAAGATTCTGATCTGGGAAACCAAAACTCAGCAAGTGCTGCATCGCTACGACTTTGCCAACGTTATCAATCTTGCTTGGCATCCTGCCAATAATTCGCTCTCGTTTACAACGTCAGATGGGGAGCTTTTCATCTACGATGGATTTGTGCCGAAGGAACATCAGCATCATATCCAGAAGCCTCTCCAGGCCGCCCCTATCTTCCCTGGAGTGTTGGCGGAGGTTTCTGGGAATGCAGGTCGATCATTGACAAACAGACCGAAGGAGTCAATAGAGCGGCCAGGAAGGGGAGGGACGCCCGATTCCCTCGATGATCTCCTTGGTTCTGATCAGGGCATGGAGGACTTCGTCGAGGATGATGATGGGGCTGGTTATGCGGAGGGCTTCAATCTCTACGGCAAGCGAACAAATGGACATCTCGACGACATTGCAGGCCCTGCCGAGAAACGATTGTTGACCAGCTATACAAAACCCAAGGCACACCCTCCTCTTCAGCCAGGGAGCACACCTTGGAGAGGAAATCGGCGGTACCTCTGTACGTGTTCGCTTCGAGCGGCAGCCGAGTAACAATGTGCTGACTGAGCTAGGTTTGAACCTGACCGGCTGTGTTTGGACAGTCGATCAAGAGACGCATAATACGGTGACGGTGGAATTTTATGACCGAGAACTACACCGTGACTTTCACTTCACCGACCCTTACCTCTATGACCGCGCATGTCTCAGTATGGAGCATTATCCGATTGTATAGATGCAGGCTAATTATTTCTAGACGAGAATGGGACTCTATTTTCGAATAACCCAACCGATGGCAGTCCCGCTACTATATTCTACCGCCCTCATGAGACCTGGACGACGCGTGCGGACTGGCGGACACAGTTACCTCAAGGAGAGTTGATCAGAGGTAGGCACTGTGAGCCCGCTCATTCAAGACTGGCAGCTGACGGAGATGTAGCGCTGGCGCTAAGTGATTCATATATTGTTGCTGTGACGACCAAGGACTACGTTCGTGTGTATACACTATTCGGAACGCCTTATAAGGTGTACAGACAAAAAAGCCCGGCTGTGACGTGCGCTGCATGGCGCGATTATGTGATGACGATTGGTAACGGACCTTTGGGGAGCGATGGCCTCACAGCGACTCTCACGTACTCCATTGAGAATGTCAAGAGGGATGAAGTATGTCAAAACGAGGACGTGGTTGCTCTTCCCGAGGGCTCAGAATTACGAAGCGTCTTCTTTTCCGATACAGGGGTGAGTTTTCCTTGCGGATCAATGACAATATTGATGGCATACTCATGATACTACTAGGATCCTTGCATCTATGATTCCGAAGGTGTCCTCCTCATCTTGCAGCACTGGCGTACTAATGGCCAGGCTCGCTGGGTTCCACTACTTGATACAAAACAGCTTGAGCGATTGGCAGGCGGGCGAAAGGAGGAAACTTACTGGCCTGTGGCAGTCGCGCAAGAGAAATTCCACTGCATCATTCTCAAAGGAGGAGATAGATATCCGTACTTCCCTCGACCACTGCTCAGTGAATTCGACTTCCGGATCCCTATATCCGACAGGCCGCAGAAAGCAACCGACGACGAGGGCGATGAATCTCGCAACGATGCTTCGGCGCGGTTTGAGGAGTCTTTTGTCCGTGGCAACGTTCTTCTCTCTCTGTTCCAGGATCTCCTGTCCTCAACCAACGCGACGCCCAGTCAACGGGCTGAGCTGGCCAGGAAAGAGATTGAACTGGACAAGATTCTACTGCAGATGCTGGCAGTTGAGTGCAGAGAAGGTGAGGAGCGAGGCATGAAGGCCTTGGAGTTAGTTCGTATGATGAAGGATCGCAATGGAAAGATGATCGAAGCCGCAGCCAAGATCGCTGAACGATATGGGCGAGGCGTACTGGAAGACAAGATTCGGGATCTGGCCGAGAGGCGATACATGGGAACAGGCGATGATGATGAACTGGCTTAATTCTGGGGAGATTCTATCCTAGTCCCTGTATATGATTATGATCTTATTTGGGGTTTGGGTTTCGGCACTTTCATGGGTAGCTATATCGATATAATTCGGCTTTATGTACAGTTTTGATATGGACTGATCTCGATATTCTCCAGTACGGGGACTTGGCCGTTGTATGTGTATATGCTCGTCCGAACGTTGGTCGATGCTTCGGTTTGGCTTCGGCGAATCTCCCGACGTCATCGGCGAAACCAAACCGAATTTCGACTTCACGCTTTAGTAGTGAATCTACTGAATCTCAGCCCGTTGCCGTTACAACCAATATAATCTCAGACATATGGCTTGACAAGCGCTTCTATTTTGTCGTCTAGTACGGCTTTCACTTTAGTTTTACTCTTATGCATTCCCCTTTTGAGATATTATTCCCATTTCCGACGTCGTGATGCCCAAGTTGCTTTCTGCTCCGTCTCATCCTCAGCATATTCGATGTCTCCTCCAAGCTCCACGGAAATCGATCTCTCTGTCTGGTTCCCGTCAGTACTTTGTGTCGTCTCCAGTGCGGCCTTTGGCACAGCCACGGCACGGGATTCTCAACGATCCTTGGCCAACGCCCATATCGCCCACGCTCTTCTCACAGACGCATCCTGAATCGTCCATAGATGGGCTGAATGGGGGGCCGCAAAATGACCATAAACCACCCGACGAACGGATTCTGAAACTTGGAAAAAGTACGTGTGATTGTCCCAGGATGAAGAAATATAAAATTGTCGATAAGAGGATGGAATCGTGCTGACGGTGCCCTTCCGCAGCGCTACGCACTCTCTCTCCTCTACTACCTACTCTACTCATCAATCCTTTACCTCCGAACATCCTTTCGCCGAACATCACACTTCATTTATTTCCCTCGACGCATCCGCACCTTCCCACGGTGAAAGGTCGGACATTGTATCGAGCCGCGCTCTGGACTGTCCCTGTGGCGTGGAGCAGCTTGCCGCTAGTCGGCAACGTGAGATTGCAGATTCTCAGCGAGCGGATCGTTCGTGCAGGCACGGTCTTAGATCCGGATGGATGCAGCGAGAGCGAAAGCGGAGATGAGCGGCTAGTCGTCCGATGGAGGACAGAGCCCAGGCGAGAGGGTCATAAAGATGGCTCTGCCGGTGCTGCCAGCAGGTCCAACAAGGCCTTGTCGTCCTCGCCATCATCGGAAAAGCTCAGCCATGCTTCTGCGAAGAATGGCGTCAACAAGGGGCTCAGCGTGCTTCTGGGTGGGGATGCTCCTATCTTCAAGTTGTCGAACGAAGAGCAGTTTACTGGGCTGTTCATCTTCTCGTTTGATGAAGAAGGCCGGATCTCTTCGCATACGATCGAGCATGCTGACGATGCGGACGGATGGGACCGGACTGCCAAGTTTGTCACCTTGACTGACTGGCTGATTGGGAAGGCGAGGGGTTCTCTCGACCCTCCGCCTGGGCTGGCGATCCAGGGCTGTCAGACCTGTAGCTTTCCCTCGTCTCGCACGCATCGTGGCTCTGACCGGTCGCCATAGCTCACAGTTATAGGCACCAGGATGCAGTTGATGATGGGGGTGTAAGCCCTTTCAAGTGGTCCTCATATAACACGAAGATACTTTGTAGTACGGTTCTACTAGCACTGCTGGCTATATTTGGCGCATGTGTGGCACTCTCACTTCATGTTCTATGGTGTTGGTCGTGTTTTCCTCGTCTGCTGTCTTAAATAGCACCATCTCCTCTTTTGATGTACTTATACTTACGTGTATTATACCCAGCAACGAATGTTATAGAGTGTATGATGAATTTCTGACCAGCCGTCGAAATCGCTTAGGGGTACATATCGAAGAAGTCTAACTTTATGAACAGTCCCGCTTGTTGTCGGTTGATGAATCAGTCAAAAAATCCAGCTATGCCAAAGATATACGCTCAAGAATTAGACACATGCAACTAAAGAAACTGCTAGGCCTTCACCTTGCCGGCCTTGGTCGCAGATCCGATAGGGGGCGACTTCAACGTCGTAAACACACCCACACAAACCGCCAACATTGCGAACCCACCAGTGGTATAAGCAATTTCGCGTCCAACCCACCAGAAAAGCGAGCAGAAGAGCAGTGGGCCTGCAGCCCGGCCTACCTGGCCCCAGCTTCGCAGTCGACCCAGCACGAGGCCGCGCTCTCCTTCCCGCGCTTCAAAGCTACCAAGGCTATTCAGGCCGGTCACAACCGTAGCACTGGTCACCGCCAACAGAGCACCGGCCAAGTAGAGCCCGGCGAGCGAAGAGACTCGAGCCAGGAGGAAGAAAGAGATGGTGCAAGCTACGACTCCGGCGCGGAGAGTCATGAGGGGCGGTAGACGTCGGACGACGGTCCCTTGGAGCAGTGAGGCGATGAGTCCCATCAGGGAGAGAAGACGACCGTTCAGAGCAGATGGAGATACGGTGCTTCCTCCGTAAAATGTGGCAGTAAGGAAGGGAAGCGAGAACTCCAGCCCGGAGAAAGGAAGAAGGAAGAGAAAGTGAAGCAGGTTGAGGAGGGCCGGGCTATTCGTGTGTTTGCGAGGCATCGTCACGTCGGATTTTGAGGCACCAGATTGCTTGTTATTCTTTTGTGTAGAGGGGGCCGTGTCCTCAGCTCTGGGAGGACCAAAACTGAGCTTTGTCAACCGGGGGTGTGTTTCCGGCAGACTGCGATACAGATACAGTGTCTCGGTGACAATAAGGACAAGCGACACTCCCGCAGCGGTCGCAAACGGATTTGCAGCCACCGTGGTGATGTTCGACAAGGCGGCTCCAAGTGCTGGCCCGCAGGTGAACGCAATGCTGAAGCATGCACCCACCAGCGCCATGGTCGAGCCCCGTTGATTTTCGTCACTGATATCCGTCGCAATTGCATGCGCCAGCTGCACATTGCCCTCGCTCAGACCGCCGACAATGCGGCTGGCGAGGAAGGTACGAAAATCCGTCGCGGCGACCCATAGCGCGACACTGAGAGTGTTCCCGACCATGGAGCAGAGCAGCGCTGTCCGTCGTCCATATCTGTCGGATAGTCGGCCGATGAAAGGGGCAGCAATGGCTTGTAGAAGAGAGAAGAGCGATCCTAGCGCTCCTCCAAGGAGTACTATATCATATCGCGAGTCGATCGGCTTTGCGAACGAGTTCTTGTACGCGTTGAGATAGTGGAAGACACGGTTTAGGAGAGAGGTCGGAGAAGGGTCTTGAGAACGATAGAACGTAAGCAGCGATGGAAAGAGTGGAAGGATGAATGTAAAGGAGATCTAACATAAGTCAGTTAAAGAGAGTCTTTATCATCCCATTGGTATGTAGGATTATTCCCCACCAGGTCTAGAAGGAGAGATAGTATCAACACTCGTAGTATCTTCTTACGTTGATCCGCGGCCAGCGCCATGATGATCAATTCGGACTGCAAGTTCGCGAAATCGGCAAATTGGAATAGAGCATGAGGATTAAACAACGAGTGACTCGATCAAGGAAAGGACCAAAGAAAGGAAGAAGAAAAAAGAAAAAGGGACAATTTGGTATCCATCAGGATGAGACACCGATGCCCGTAGCTGATGGGTAATCATTTAAGGTCGAGACAGACCGATTATGTCATAGCCCTGTGCCCTATTGCCAGTTTCGGACCTATCTACTGTTATTGATGCTTTGAAGCTACAATAGAGTCGAAAAGACTGCTGTTGGCGAGATGAATGCCATTCATTTCATTGCTGTTCACCCCAATCTACACCGAGGTTGACCCATTCCTCCACAGACCAGCCATGTCCCCGCGACGCCCTGATGGCAACCTGCCCATCACCGTCACCATCACCCCCCACTCCACGCCTGCTAAGCCTCGAGACTCGAGGGGAACAGTAAAGTAGAACACAGGGAAAGGAAATGAAGACAAAGAAGCAAAAAGGCCGCCTCCAGAACCCACCGGTGGCGCGGAGATGGAGAATAGAATCTACAGAAAATGAAAGAGGAGATGGAAAATATCAGACCAAGGATATGCACGCTCAATAACTGCCAGACATATACAAGAGGGACTTTTGGTAAAATCAACCGACCAAAAGAGAGAACCAGAAAGCAAAGGTGCAGAAGAGGACAGACAATCCCAAACCCATGCCTTTGCAATCAAGAATCCTTGTTCCCGGTAAAAATTTCGAGTTGCTCATCGCTTTCGTCAACCATAACACCGCCGTACCGATGCGCTTGTGGACATTAAGACAGGTAGAGAAGGGTATGGAGAGACCAACGTGGTCAAGAAAAGAAAATAAGGGGAGAATGGAGCAGTGGTGTCTGGGAAAACCCCCCAGGCGACACCTAATGCGAAGCGCCGGAGTCGAGTACCATGAGACTGAAGTCTAGTATTCTCATAGAGAAATCTATTTTTCAGGGGCACATGGTAGATGCCAACATCTCATGGAGAAGTTGAGGTTAATCACAGTGATGCAGCCGGAGCTGCAGCTGGAGCGCCGCCATTGGGTCCGCCGCGGCCACGACCACCGCGTCCTCGACCACGCCCCCTGAAATCGCCACGGCCGCGGCCACGGAATCCATCTCCCCGGCCACGTCCACCGCGGCCCCGACCGCGGCCACTGGGCTGTCTCTGATGGTGCACAACAGGTTCGAATCCGTCGCCGCCCTGCGCCTTAGGCACGGGGGCATGTTCATCACTGTGTCCGGAGGCCTCCGCGACAGTCGGATTGTTCTTCAGGCCGGTATCGACAGAGGCAGGGGTTGCCTGTAGGCCTGTCTCCGTCTCCGCCGGGTCGCGAGGCACCTCAACCCAGCCGTCAGCATTTGCCGACGACTCGAGCGAGCCGGCCCGGTTTTGTTCCCACGAAGCCTCAGCTACAGGATTAGCAGCGTCGGAAACGAGAGTCTGGGCGGGAGGAGGAACCTCGGCCTTAGGCGCAGAGGCGTCAATCTCGTTGGCTGTTGTAGCACCGGCGTCAAGAGGGCCGTCCTGGAGTTCGGTGTAGGCGGCGTTCGCCAAGGTAGGATCAGAGGCTGCAGTTGCCTCCGCGGTCACCTCTTCGGTGGCTCCCCCAGGAGCGTACTCCTCGGATGTTTGCTTCACCTTACCGTCTAGACAAGGCACACTGGTTAATCAACTGGACCAAACCGAGTTCAATCAAGAAAATATGAAGGACTTCCTTACAGGTGACCTCAAGTGTTTCTCCCTCCACACTAACGACCTTCTCGTCAACTCCGTCAATCAATTTGAGCATAGAGCTCACTGCGTCCTGGGAGCCTCCGTAGACTTGGTAAAGGACACCTTCAAATGCACGGCTCTCGGGGGATGTCTCGTCACCGGAGCGCCTCATGGCAGCGGCAGCGCAAAGGAACTTGGTCAGGCTAAGCAGACGCTGTCTGAGATCCTTCTTGTGATCCTCAGTAGCTTCCGCGCGAACCTGTTCCCGAACAGCATCCAATTCTTCCTTGTGGGCCTTCTCCAATGCGGTCTTCTGGCTGTTCAGGCGCTCCTCGTAATGGCTGGCGAAGCTCTTGAATTGAGCGATTTGCTCCTCGATTTGAGCGACGGTGGCCTGAAGCGCAGGCTTCTTCAGGGCCTGCGCTTTCTGGTCCACGTTGATCTTCTTCTCTGCAACCAGTTCGTCGAGAGATTTACCGGGATTTTCCGCGATGATAGCATCGACCTTTGCGGTTGCGTTCTACATAGAGACCAAATGCCTGTTAGCGAGTGAACGAGTGTTTCTCTAGCATCTCGAATCGTCTCACCAGCTTCTTCATGGTATTGCGCAAGCTCCTATAAGTATGCTGTCAATTTCCATAATCGGAACAACCAAAGTACAGCGTCGCAACAGATGCGCAAGGTCCAGTCTTGAGGCTGACGTACCTCTGAAGATCTTTGAAATGAGGGTTGTCGAGAGTGTCGAAGCTGTTAGCTGTTCCCTGGGTCCCATCTGCTTTAGAAGCAGTGACCGCATATTCTGGCCTTGGAGAGGCCTCGGACTGAGCCTGAGAGTGGCTGTTGACAGGAGCAGCTGCCATAGTGGAGATGTGTGGTTCGACAGCTAGTTAATATGGGGGCTCTGAGCGATGACCTCCAAGTCAAGGGAGGATTGCGATTTAAATAAGGATAATAGATAAGTAAACTTAAAAGGCTAAGAACTGCCTTGTTCTGGTATATCAATTAGCAAATAAAGGGAGTGCGCAAAGGGAAATGGCTCAGAAAGAAGAGTGTTGTGCGAGGATCTGGTCTAAGCTGTCATGAGCTGGGTCAAAGATGTGGGTGGAACTCTTCCGAACCTCTCGCCGCTTTGTCGCGTGCCTGCTGCAACTACCAGCAAAACAAAGAGCTTAGACGGCCAATTCGTTTCCACACTTCTACAACCGACGTGAAATGATGAACCTTTTGCATTTATAAATTACAATGGCTATTTCATGAAGTGGCTATGGAGCTGTTCAGAGGGCACCATCATGTATCTGTGGTGTGGAACTCAGCCCACAAGGCCGGGCCCGGGTATCATAAGAATCAACAACAACGCCAGTAAAAACTCCTTTCCCTCGCAATATAATCAGAAGAGTAGTGGAAGAGGAAACTCTATCTCAGGTAGTTTTTATGTAAGCCAAGCGGTTGAGTAGCCTCGTCCCCACTGTGGTTATTGTATCACTCAATGCTGGAGAGAGTCGGTTGGAAGACAATTCAACTGATCAGCCCTTGAATTTCCGTAGTGTTTTCTAGGGAGAAGAAAAAGTTTTAGCCGTCAGAAGGGCACCATGAATCGATTTCATTTGACAACGTACCTCTGTGACCTTGCGAACAGAGTTTGGGGAGACATGTTTTTCACCGGCTTTTCGCGACCTTATCGAAGCTTCGCGCATCAATCTTTGAACCCAGTCAACATTGTCCCGTTATACGAGTATCCCAGCTTTGAGCCTCGAGCTAGAAGACATGGCATGGATGGTAACAGCCAATGTTTGGGGCAATTCTGGGAGGGCAAGTTGCCGACTCACTCTTGCATGAAAAGCATATAATCTAAGAAGATCTGCGTAACGGCACAGAGACAGATCAGTTAATGAGCTTTAACGTGACTGTTGACCTGCTGCTTACCAGAATATCAGCGTTCTTGCTCACGCTTCGGTTGGAATGTGCTTTCACAATGCGCTTCACCGTGCCACGAGGATAGAGCTTCTGTGTTGCGGCCATCGCAAAAGATTTTGAGAGTAAAGTTCTGATTCAAAGTATTAATTTCTTGGATTGGTCGTGATGATTTATTTGATTTACTCTTGATGATTGTGATTGATAATAAGGACGATAAGCATGAGCTTCGGGTTTGTTTGGATAATCAATCTTACCCTACTTTAGTACTAGATCCGGAGTGGATCCGAAAGGAATCTGATGGGCCCATATACCTACAGCCAATCAGAGATTTCTATCTTTGAAAAAAGAGTCACATGACCATAAATTACCTTTGAACCACCTCTGTAGATACCGGAGAAAGATGATGTGGGGAACAACTGTATTACGTATTTACGGGACAGTACGTTCCATTGTCCACCACACTGGTTCAATTCCGAAATGTATTTGAAGGACGCGGTGACTGTGTACTTGCTCTATCCAGTAAGGCAGCTTCCATTACAGCATCTGTTGCATATATACGACTAGAATCTCCTTATGGCTCTTCCACTCCTGTAGTATGTACCAGTTCTCGAATCACCAGGATTTATACTGTACAAGATCGCCTCTGTACAAAGGTGGAGCCCTTGTCACCGACGAATTAGACGATCTCGAAGGAATTTCCATGCGTAGACCGCCGCCACGGAGCCCAAGGCAATCCTCCATGCGAGGAAGACATAAATCGCAACACGCAGCTTCTCATAATAGCCTCTGAGCATAATGCCGACAGCATATGTGCTCCCGTCGGAAGCTTTGTCTGAAGCTCCGTAGTATCTGCCCACTCCCAAGCCTCCAATTCCAACATCGTTATGGTCGTGCTGTGTATTGTGTTCTTGAACTACTGCCAACGCCACAGTCTGGCCATCCACGGCCGTGTTACTTATGACTGTCCGAGCCCCAGACCTCACATGGAGGACATTGCGTTTTCGGAGACGATACGTCAGAATGCTGATTATGAAGCGCAAGTCAGGGCTTGTAAAAGTAGGATACTTCCACAACCGCACGGCCGTATGCGGCGGGAGCATATCAAGGAAGTCAGCCAAGATTCCCAAGGACAGTCCCCACAGATGCAGGGGCCGAGTTGAGTTGACGGAGGCGGCGCTATTGGCTGAGCAACACGTTTTCCATCTTTGGAAGATTGAAGGGCTTGACTGGGTTGTAATGGTATCCGGGTTCGGGGTCGTATGGCAATTTAAACTTTCACTTGGTTGCAACTGAATCGCCGCGAACTCCATCCACCCCATCAGGGACCGACATATAAGGCGAGCAATGAGCCCGCCTCGGTTTGCGAATCGCTGAGACATGTCAACATACTCAACAGTTCGTGCTGAAGGTGATAGAAGTCTTTCGAGAGGCACCCAATGCGATGAAGCGACCTCTGTTGGTTGCAATTTGAGAGTTGGCGAATCGCTCCGAGTCGACAGAAAGACGAAAGGACAGAGGACCATCAACCTTGGATAGCGTTGTAAGCATTATCGAAGGAAATTGCAAGATCAAGATTGCCAACGTACGGTACTGAGCCCCAGCTGGTGGTTACTACCCGCTCTGGCAAATTTCCAATGTAAATATAGTCATTTGTCGCCAAATCCAATCCTACCTCCTCCGAGGTTTCTCTAATTGCAACCGCTCGGTCATCTGTATCTTCCGGATCACGCTTCCCTCCTGGGAACGCAACATGTCCTGTCCAGCGGTCTCCCACACGTGATGCCCGTTTGATAAACAGGACCTCTGGTGATCCATGCTGAACCCAGGACTGAGAGAAGAATGTCTCCAATCGTTGTTCAGTGGAAACGGCTTGATCTTGCTCAGCGGGCAGGGAAGGCGAATCGGGCCAATGATGATATGATGGTCGTACCCGGAGGACCAGAGCTACTGAAGCACGTTTCTTGCACGATGGAGGGTTGGGAACATGTGGATATGGGCGACGATGAAGATCACTCAATGCGGTGTGGAGGGATTTGGGCAGCGACGGTGGTTCTTGATTTGACTCGGGGTTCATGGATTCCATTGCGTGGACTTTTCGTCATAAATGGTAAGCTATGGGCTATCTAGAATAGAGGAGAGTAAATTGCAATATATTCAAGCGAAAAGGACTTCTCAAGGCCTTGATTTGGTGTCGTCGACTGCGAATCGAAGAGTCATACGACAGGAATGAAATGCTGTAAATGCTTGTTGATCTTATTACCGCGGCTCTATCAGTGATCTACCCAGGTATGTCCAGTTACCATTTCATACTTACGGTCGTGAAAAGACAATATGCGGTATTTGCATTTCCAATCGGTGGCAGCGTTTTTCCTTCCGCAGAATGAAATAACTCGACGTCATGCAGTGTGCGATTGGCTGAGGATGCTTCAGGCTAGTGCAGCACGTGCATGCTTTGGACTTCCTGATAACAGCTTCATGAAACTAGCTGGAAGGCTAGACTGTGCCGGCCACCCACCAGATCTCAAGTGTTGATTCAGTCGTTTAAAATCCTTTCATCAGGCCCGAAAGCAATTTCTGTCTCCTTTGCTTTGTTCTTTGACAGCACGTTCATGCGCTTTATGTCTTGTGCTGTTTGTTGAGACGCTTCGACATTATCCCCAACAAGCCCATACAGTTGGACCGAATATAGTATTGCAACTGTCAGACCTCAATTCAACCGAAATCAGCCTATCAATTCGTCATGCGTTTTGGCAAGACGCTGAAAAACTCCATTTACCCCCCTTGGAGCGGGAAGTACATCGACTATCACAAATTGAAGGTTCTCTTGAAAGAACATGATGTCACCGAAGACGCAAGTGACTCAGAAGAGTCTCCCTGGACAGAACAGGACGAGGAAGCCTTCGTCCAGGAACTGATCAATGTGCAGCTTGACAAGGTCAATGCTTTCCAGGTTGAGACATCTCAGCAGCTGAAAGAGCGTACGTCTGCTTGTGAGAGCAAGTTACTGCCATTGGCACCCAATGCGGATCAGGAGACGGCCACCGTGGACGAGAAGGAGAGGAAGTCTGTCGCTTCTGAAGTTCTTCAGGAATTGGACCAGATTGCCAAAGAAGTTAGCGAGCTCCAGAAGTACAGTCGCATCAATTTCACCGGTTTCCTCAAAGCTGCCAAGAAGCATGACCGCAAGCGCGGTGCACGATACCGCGTACGGCCACTGCTGCAAGTACGTCTATCGCAGCTCCCTTTCAACAGCGAGGACTATTCGCCTCTGGTTCATCGGATATCAGTGATGTATTCCTTCGTGCGCCAGATCCTGAGTGAGGGTGCAGTCGAAGCTAAAGATGCCGGCGAGCCCCGTTTTGGCCAGGATGCGTACTCATCGTACAAATTCTGGGTCCATGAGGACAACATCCTGGAAGTCAAGACTTACATTCTTCGCCGATTGCCTGTGCTCATTTACAACCCCAAGTCGTCAAGAGACTTTGAGTCGCTTCCTGAGGACCCCACAATTACATCTTTGTACTTCGACAACCCCCAGTTCGACCTCTACAATCAGAAAGTAGCCAAAGCCCCCGAAGCCGGGTCTCTCAGGCTTCGGTGGACCGGGAATCTCAAGGATACGCCCGCCATTTTCCTGGAAAAGAAGATTGTGACCAGTGATGACTATAGCAAAGAGGTGAAAGTGCAGCTTAAGGAGAAGCATGTGCAGGAATTCCTTGAGGGCAAATATACGTTCGAGAAGCAGCTGCATCGAATGGAAGGTTTGAATAACGGCGAATCAGCGGAGGCGGAGTCGCTCAAAAAGGATGTTGAGGAGCTGCAGTCATTCATCAAGGAGAACAACCTACAGCCCATGCTTCGGGCCAATTACACCCGCACTGCTTTCCAAATTCCTGGTGACGATCGCATTCGAATTTCCCTCGACACCAACCTTGCGCTCATTAGGGAAGACGCGCTGGACGAAGAACGTCCGTGTCGTGACCCGACCGATTGGCACCGGAGGGATATCGACGATAGCGAAATGCAGTACCCCTTCGACGGCATCAGAACCGGCGAGGTCAATCGGTTCCCACACGCTTTGCTGGAGATTAAACTGCGGGGCAGCGCACATCATGTCGAGTGGGTCAACGAGCTCATGGTCTCCCATCTTGTCAAGGAGGCGCCGCGCTTCTCGAAATTCGTCCATGGTGTCGCTCAGCTATTTGAAGACCATGTCAATAGCTTCCCCTTCTGGTTGAGCGAACTGGAGAATGACATCCGACGCGACCCCGAAACAGCGTTTCAAGAAGAACAAGAACGCCTTGCAAAGCGTGCCGAGGATGATATGGTCGTCGGAAGCTTCCTGGTCAACCGGCCAAGTCCTACCGTGCGCCCACTGGTTGGGTCCCCGGTTACCATGTTCTCGGACCTGGGCTCCCCAGCGCGGACAAGACAGCCCTCGCAACCTGTACCACGGCCGAGCAGGCCTACCATACGGGAAGGAGAAGGCCGCACATTGCCCGAGGTGAGTGCTCCGGGAGAAACGCAGCCGATAACGTCGTCCCGCTTGGCCGCACTCTTCCCCTCTTTCCCCATCTCGCGATCCAGCCGCACGCATCGACAGTCGGTTGTTCTGCCGCCTGGCGTGAGTGAACCCGTCACCTGGATCAAGGATTCGGGCCCTGTCCGTGTGGAGAGCAAGGTATATCTTGCCAACCAACGAACCTTTATCAAGTGGCTGCACGTCAGTATCCTGCTTTCTTCTCTGTCTCTCGGTTTGTACAACGCTGCGGGCAAGCACAACGATATTGCTCGCGCCTTGTCCATTGTCTACACTTTTTTCGCCTTGTTCGCCGCCGCTTGGGGATGGTACATGTATGAAAAGCGGTCCCGGCTCATCCGGCAGCGGAGCGGACGTGATCTGGACAACACATTTGGTCCTATTGTGGTGTGTATTGGTCTGGCGATTGCCTTGGTGCTGAATTTCGCCTTCAAGGTAAGTCTGATCAGTTCGGAGATTTTGAATACGGAAACTAACTTGAAGCAGTACTCGGCTACTATGAAGAGGATCAGGGAGCAGCAGCCCGGCATTGACACGCCCCCTATGTTCAACGTTTCATTTACTCCAGTGGAACATCCAGACACCTGGCGCTTGGTCAACCAGGGTGGACAAGGAATGTAAATGCACGTCTTTACCATGCTTGACGCGAGTATGATTGTGATAGCCTGTATTGAGTCGCTGTATATCCAAAAGTAATTGATACGAATATATATAAGCATGTTCATATGCATGGTTGTCGATTGCGGCGATTAATTGTCTGTGTTTTTGCCTCGAGTGATTGTAACACTGATAATGTTGTAACCTAATATTCACAGAGGGGTATAACATACATGCAAGGTCATATGGCCGCTCCGAAATTCTGCTCACTATGTTGCTGAATACTCTGTATAAGTTTCTCTAACATCCAGGCTTCGCAACACGTCCTTTCTTTAAGCTCATCTTGTTCACTAATCCATCGCAGTCGTTCTCTCCAGAACTCCCAGTGATCCAGTGAGAACATGGTATCTCCCTTCCACAGATTTTAATCAGAGTATTCCATAGATTCCCACCCGGAGAGGTCCTTCCTGCCTATAAATCGGAAGATACTGTGCTCAGCAATTTGTATAAAAGGCGCCAGTGCATGTACATTAGTCTAATATCCTAGTCAGTCATCAGTCCAGTATCAGTCCCCACGTCCCACAATAACCACCCCACGCGCTCGCCCTTATTGACAATACCACCGTGGCAGTCATCATTGCAGAGAGACATGAATTTACAAGCAGTTTCGTCTGCTGCGACGGCATGAGGGGTCCCGTAGCGATTGACGAATTCCCGCAGGGATTCGAATTTCGTCCAATGTTGGGGGGTACTCGTCGCCTGGATCGGGGTGGTAGAAGCGGTCCCAGGCGTTGCTATGTTCTGGGATGTAGGAGCAATCCATTTCCTGTGGAAGCAAGTAACGTGGCGTGTTGTCTGGCACGTAATGTTGCTCCTGATGTTAAGACTTCTGTCTGTCTACTGCAGAGTCATAGCCTGCAAGACGCGTCCATCTGTGAGTCACAGCGCCAGGCTAAGCAGCCAGCCGCCGGTTGAGCCTGGGCTTCTTATTCGGTGCACTTTATATAGAAGCTTTTTAACATGGATTCTTGGCAGGCATCCACCGTTCAAGCTTTGAGGCTATTATGCCCGGGGCCCTCCCTTTCATGTGTCCGCTTAGAGAGTGGAACTAGCCGCTCATCACGCACACCATCATGAGCTGAAGCCAGAAGAAGGAAACCACGTCCGAAACCCCCACACAGAGACTCCACTCCAATCATGCCGAAAGTGACCTGAGGCCAGGATATTTGACGAAGACATATGATTACCGGCCCGTAGATTGCACGGCCAGTGCGCTGAAACAAAGTTGGAGGAAGAGACTGAGGTCTGTGTTATGGTAGAACGACATGTATGGCCGTATGATAATCTCTTCGATGATCTCTCTAACTTCCTATGTACAGTGGTAGATGATGTACCCTTGTATCATTTGGTTGGTACAATGGTACTACATACAGTCTGAGCAGCAGAAGAGAGAGCACACTTGGCATGCCCACAAGCAGTCCGGAGATGGCGGAGATCAAGAGTGTCAGTGGTTAGATATTCTGGGTTGAAGTTAGCATGTGGTTCTTTGAATGTGCGCTTTTGATTTCTTATGCCGGTTGAGATCGGAAAGAAAGCGGAATGAGATGCCACACGCAAGACAATAATAGTCGGCATTGCCCATTCCCATCTTCTTCTCGTGTCCTTTTGTCTTGTTATAGCCCCTGAGTGATGCTGAGTCCCGACACGACACATTGCAGACATCGCAGTGGTAAGTCTTCGCAGTCACGGCTGCCTTTTGTCTCTCGGCATCGCCCATTTCTTTCTTGAGATGCTGTTTGGTTCTGTTGTGGCGTACAGGAGAAGCATTATCCTGATAAGAGACATTACACATGGCATAATAGTGTAGTTTTGCCGCCAATGCTGTCTGTCTCTGCTTGACATTGTTCTCTTCTTTGGTGTAAGCGGCAATCTTGGCCAGCTGTTCTGGCGTATAGTCGGCAGTAACCATGAAGGCCTCTTATCACTACCTTCTGGAGGGCTTCACAATATCCGTAGACTATGCTCCGAGGACTTCAGCAGGGGGATGTGCGAACATAAGGCCCTCCATTTAAAAGAGGGCCACGGCCATAACCCTTCAAGGAAGCCATAGGACTTGTCCTTTGGCCACATAGGCCAAAATATACAGGAAACAAGCCTCGACGATGAACGAGGAACCGGAATGTCGGGACCTCCTGCGGAGAGGGAATAGGCATGTGAACGGGGATACAACTATGCACAATTGTATAGCCATCATCCTTAGCTTCCTGGAAATATCTGGGAGTGAGGTTTCCACGCCTCAAGAACAAGGTTGAAACTCCGAAACTTCGTGATGTCCTGGGGGAGGAATTGGCATGTGTCCCAATACACATATATGAACAATACTGTAGCCGTTTGTTTTCGCTTGTTGGACAAAGCGAGGAACAGGTTTGCCAACGGAATGTTGTTGGATGCGGGCGCGGATCCCACGATCTACCGCTGTAGAGTAGTCAATGTACATGCATGGCTTGCCGCCAGCCTTCTGAAGTACCAGCACGTAAACACCCCATACGTCTTTGGGAATATCACAGGTGATATCCAGAAACCACTGAATAGTGGGACGAGCACGAAGGAGGAGGACATGTGCCAATCCAGCACAGAATGTAAAACGGGCAAGCTGGAATAGCTCCGTAAGCTTTTGCTCAGAGGACACGGCGCAGCGGAATCCAGCCCTGGATTGATCCAAGAGGTGTTCGGACAATGGCGTTCCAGCATATGGCAAGGATAAGAGCATGGATGTCGGTAGCATCTTGGTAAGACATCTTGTTGGCATAGAAGAAGAAGAAGAAGAAGAAGAACAGAACTGGGGATGAGCGTCTCCATATATACAGCTGTACCACTGCTGAGGCTGCTGAGCCAGTGAAAGCAGATGAGAATGATTGAAGGATTCTTTGATGAATTGTGAATAGTGAATAGTGAATAGTGAATAGTGAATAGTGAATAGTGAATAGTGAATAGTGAATA